ATATGCATACAAGAACTGGAGTACAGGCAGAGGGGGTTTGGGGGAGGGTGAGAGGATTCACCGGAGACAGAGTGGGCAGCAGAACAGGCGGATTGACTGAAATCCACTGATGAAGGGAGCAGTGGGGAGACAGGAGAGGTCTGCTGCGCCCTGTGGGTCACTCCCTGGCCGGGATCGAACTGATGCTGCAGTAGCTGCAGAGTGCTGTGCTTAAACCCCTTGCACCACCCCAGAGAACCAGTGTCTCTCTCTCTCTCTCTCTTTTAAAGATTTATTATGCATACAGAACTGGGGTACAGAACAGAGGCGCAGGGGCGGTGAGAGGCTTCACAGAGACAGAGGGAGAAGCAGAACAGGCCGACTGACAAAGTCCACTGCTGAGGGGAGCAGCAGACGGTCAGGAGAGGTCTGCTGCGCCATGTGGGTCAGCTCCCGGGCGGGATTGAACTCATGCTGGAGTGGTTTTAGCTTCTTAGTGCTGAGCTGTACCTGGCTGCACCACCAGGGAGGGCTCCCCCCACCCCCCGTGTCTCTTTTTAAAATTGGTCTCTGGATCACTTGTTTAAATTGGTCCCTGGACACTCAGGCTGTTTCCATATCTCGGCTATTATGAACATAGCCGCCACGAACACGGAGGACTGATATCCTTTTGAAATCTGATTTCAATCCTTTTGGATGAAACTCCCAGAAGGGAAGTTGCTGAATCATGTGGTAATTCTGATTTTAATGTTTTGAGAATGCTGCAGGCGCTCAGACCCATTCTCAGGTAGCCTCGCTGGCTGCCTGCAGCAGTCATGTACCTAGCCCCCAGTTCTTGCCTTCCCAGCTTCTCACCTGGGACTTTACTCCCCACCGAAGCTTCTCCTCTCCTGTTCTTCCAATTCCTGCCTCCTCTGGCTTTGGCCTCCTCCGCAACACCCAGCCTGCATTGCCTTCTGCCATGTGCTCCAACACCCCTGAAATTGGCCTCAGGCCATGACCGCTGCCCGTTCCCCTGTGCCCGACGCCTCCCTGGGTGTGTCCAGCATCCCCGCTTGCGCAGCTTTGTTCCCGAGACATCTTTGCTGCTGGTCTTCCTGCCCTGTCCATGAATGTGCCTCCGTCCCGTCCAGCTGGTCGGTAAGCCAGGTGCTCAGGACACAACCAGCGTCTGCAGGTGTCTCGTCTCCTCAACTCTGGGCCCACACGGGGCCAGAACTTGGGCCTTGTGGGCCTTGGCTCGGGTCTGCTGGGCAGAGGGGTCTTTCTGGGCTGGAGCTCGGCATGTTTCGGGGAGGGCTGGCAATCTCGCCTCCAGGTCAGCCGTGAGCATGCTTTGCAGGGGTCCAGCCCCGGAAGAAACAAAGGGCAGGTGGTTTTTTTTTTTTTTTTTAAGATTTTATGCATACAGAGCTGGGGTTCAGGCCAGAGGTGCAGGGGTGGTGACAGGATTCACCAGAGACAGAGCAGGGAGCAGAACAGGCCGACTGACGAAGTCCACTGCTGAGGGGAGCAGCGGGCGGTCAGGAGAGGTCTGCCCACCATATGGGTCACCTCCGGGGCAGGGATCGAACTCCTGCGCAAGTGGCTTTCGCTTCTTGGTGCTGTGCTTCAACACTCTGCGCCACCAGAGAGGTCCCGGCAGGTGGTTTTTGCAAAGCCTGTTCAGCTGGCCCCTCTCAGAGCAGGGTCCAGCTGCAGGAGCTGTATCCTCCCTGCCTGAGGCCAGGTCTAAGCCCACAGGGTCTGGCTGCCAAAGCAGGGACTCCCCCTTTCAGTGACTCAGACTCTTTGCTGCTCACCCCATTTTCATTCACTTTTCCACGGACTAGACTGGACTCCGGTGCTGTAAAACCATGCACACCCAGGGGACAGTGAACCCAGGCCAGGCTCCTTAGCCCCAGAGACTGGCCTTTCCTGAAGCCAGCCTGGTTCCCTCCCCATCTCCCACCACCCTCTGTGTGCCCAGGGGCCCAGCCCCTCCCTTGGGCACTCCGTCCTTGACCCAGCACACAGTTCAGTGCCCGGAGCTGATAATGAACTTTCTAGACCTTTCCCGTTTTCCAGTTACCTTCCTCTGGCCAGGCTCCAGCTTGCCTCTGCTATGACCAAGTCAAAGGTCACATCCCAAAGACTGCACCCACATTCTTGGCCTCAGGTGTCCACCAGCTGTGAACTCCAAGCCGGTTCCTCCACTCCCTGGCCAGTGGGAAGGGGTGCCACCCTCCGCCCGGCCCAAGGTGTTGCTTTCAAGAAGAGTTTTAAAGACAGTCTCGAAGGACATTTTGGTAGCAGTAAATAGGAGAGCTTGGAGGAGGGTTTGTTGATGAAGGAAGGACCCAAACGAATAAGCAGGGACTGCTGGGCGACAAGTGGGCAGGCAGCCTGGTGGCCACAAGTGCCCCACAGAACAAACAGCGGCCTCTTTCTAGTTTGGAAGGGCAGTGAGGCATGTGGCCCACATGTTTTCAGATTCCAGGAGAGCTGGTGTGTGCAGGCGTGTGCGTATACAAGGCCCCCGCGCTGTCCAGGCTGAGTCTCCACCAGCCCCAGCAGACCCTGTGTGTGGAGCGGGCGGGCAGAACCTCTCCAGAACGCCTCCTCCGTGGCCTCTCCCCATTCCCAAATGCACTGCTCTTGGATTTCAAAGGTGGTGGAGGTGGCTGTGTGGCTTCGCAGGAGATCGGCCGCCCACCTCCATTCAAGCCCAGAGAAGAATCCAAATTGTGATGACTGACCCTCTTATTTCCTCCTGGGCTTCCAGCCCATGTGGCTTTCTTGCCTGGGCCCCGCGGCAGAGCAGGAGGGCAGGGGACCGAGGTGTGACAGCTTGTGTTGGGATCACATGGTGCTCGCTGCGCTGTGGTTTGTAACAGCCGCGTTTCCACACTGACAGCGGCCGCCATATGGAGAGAACAAATCCTGTCAGATGAACCCTTCAGGAATCACAATATGGTACATGAAATCTCATAATTGCTTTTGGAAAAGGGGGGCTGTGTCTCGTTGCTTCACGCTGGCAGCACAGGGCCGGCCGCTGGCCACTGAACTGAACACGAGTTCGACACGTGGCCGTCCGCTTTTCTTCTGTGTCGGTTCTGGGACAGCTTTGCTGATGGGGGAGGAGGGAGAGGCTTGTTTTCCTAAGCTGGGGGCGTCGGGTTGGGTGGGAGGCAGCAGAAGCTGGCTATGCCTGCAGGACATCACGCTCACAGGTGCGGCTGCAGGCCTGTCAGCCCGCTCCCTCCTTCCCAGGTCCCCTGCCGGCGGCCAGCACGCTCATCGAACTTGACATTTTATTACTGTCACTTGGGATCTTGTCTGCTTACCCATACCTCGCCCCCTTCTGACAGAATCCAAGCTTCCCCTAGAGTTGGGACGTAGCCTGTCCCCTACCCACCTTGGCGACACAGAGGTGGGTGACGTATTTGTCAGGTGGCTGTTCCTGAGCCATCTGCGCAGGGAAAGACAGACTGCTCCCAAGCCAGAAGGGCAGAGTTGGGGGGTGAGGGGAGTAGGCCAGGCGAGTTTTAGCCTCCAGCCAACTTGGAGAGGGAGCCGAGAGGGGGCCGTGAAAGTGGCTCACCCTTGTTGATCAAAGTATGTACCCGAAGAGGAGAAAGTTCTGAGTGCCTCTGTGTGCTCTGTGCTCAGAGATGGTGGGTGACCTCCTGCAAGGCAGCCCCTGCTGCAGGCAGCTTGCCCGTGAGAGGGTTGGCACGACGCAAAACCCCCGGGCCCTGGGCCTCCCCCAGGGGCCAAAACTTATCGTCAGATGGCCAGTTGGAGGCCTTGTCTGGAAAGCACGGGGCTGCTGGCCTAGCCAGGGCTCTTGGGAAACTCACGGCGCGGTTCTCTCCATGGCTGTTCAATTCCCCTGTGCTAGGCTCGCTCCGGACCGTTCCTGCCTAGTGCTAAAGACCAGTTCTAAGTCCTTGGTAGCCCCATATAGCTTTCCCGGGTCATAAGCCCTTCATCTGTCATTGTGGCCAGAAACCAGAGGGCTTTGATTGGCTTAGGACCAAGCCATGTGCCTGGCTCTGACCGTCCCTCCCCTGTCCACTGTCACTGTGGTGGAAACAGAGACTTCCACCAATTGAGCTTCCCACCCATCCTTGAACCTACCTTGTGACTGAGCCAGGCTCTTATTGGCTAGAACTGAGGCCTGTGACCATTCCCAAGACTTGGGAGAAGTGGTGTCTTAGGACCTTGAGCTGGATTTTTAGAGACTCAGGTGATTCCTTAAAGGAAGGGGATAGAACAGAACAAAAAGCTCAGTCTGCGATGACCATAGGTAGGGTTTATTAAACTTTTTACTGTATTTTTTAAGATACTTTGTATTACAGGTTTTATGTTTTTCAAAACATAAAACAAAACACATTAATAAGCTTTTCAGATACGTGTGGGCTGCAGGCATGGTTTGATCCAGGAGCTCACGCCATCATTGGTGTACCAACTCTACTGATGATTTCCCCACTCCGGCCGCCTCGTGTGTTAGCCTCTTCCTCCCAGCAGCTTCCTTTGCAGTGTCAAGAATACTATGACAGACCCTCGCCTCCCACCCAGTCATTGCAGCCCCTGGGAGAAGCAGCACCTCTGTGTAGCGTGCTCAGAAAAAGTGTGTGGCTCCCTGATGGGAATAGGCCCAGCTCCCTACCTGTCCCCATATCCAGTCAGTTGTTGGCAATGTGATACGCTGATGGCCAGCCAGGGGGCAGAGTCATCTTCAGAACCGCTGGCACCTCTGTACAGACATCAGTGGACAGGGAGTGGGTTAGAGAGGAGAGGCTGTCATAACCCTCAGCTTCCTCCCAGTTGACCTTGACCCTCTGGGTCTGCAGAGCGTGGTGATAAGTAGAGTCCTGAGAGGTCGCTGGTGGTCTTGCTTCTTCCATCTGGCATGCCTGATGCAGGTGTTGGCTGGCGGACAGACTTCCCTGACTTGCCTGACCCTCTCCTGGGCCTCACCATGTCCTTCTTGTCTTGCCTCCAGACAGAGATTACTGCAGTTTATGTGACAAACAGCCCATTGGAAGGCTGCTTTTCCGGCAGTTCTGCGAAACCAGACGTGGGCTGGAGCGGTATATTCAGTTCCTGGACTCAGTGGTAAGTCCCTACTCCTGGGGAAGCGGGGAGGGGTGGCCTTTGGTCCTTTGTAGTCATCTGTGATCATGTTAGCACAAAGGAACAGGCTGACCACTTGGTTTAGAACCATGAAGAATAAACGTGTTGCTTCGCACACGTCCAGTGCAGACTTGAGTGAAAGTATAGGCTAGTCTCTAGGTTTGCACGTCTCGGGTGAGCGCGGGTGGGCCACGACCCCCCTGGGCCTGGAGCTCTGCTATTATTTCTCTATTCCAGCGCCTGGGTTATTATGCCAGGCAGCGTGTGGACGTGGTCTTTCTAGGACTCCAAAAAGTGCTTGGATTCCATGGCTCCACCCCGCAACTGGGAAGCCACTTTATAAAATTCCAAAGCGTTGATTCAGGTACTTACTTCTCTAATAGAATGCAAGTTCTCTGAGGCCAGGACCTGGGTTTCTAGTCACATCTGTGTCGCACAGTGCTCCCATGTTGGCATTCAGTGAGCATCTGTGAATGACTGTTGGCTTGATTTCAAGCCAGGCTGACTGCCCTGTCTCCAGTGGCATGTGACTGTGCTGGGCACACAGAGACGTCCTGCACATGTCCTGGTCACCTAGTGCCATCTTTGGTAGCAGCCAGCTTGGGGCGCAGCCCTGTGGGCTCAGATTTTTGTGACTTCCCTGGTCTGCGTAGGGATTTTTAGACCCACAATCCAAACTCTGAATGTTCCTACCATAAATCACAGGAGCCCCTCAAAATCAGCACGTCCTAAAGCCCAGCAGCACCCTGCAAGCCACCAGGGCCACCGGCTCTGATGTGTTCCCTAGTCCAGTGAACAGCACCTACAGTCACCCGAGCCTGAAATCTGCCCACTGTTCTTGACCTCTCCTCTCCTTCATCCCTTCCCCCAGCCCATCAGGGGCCATGTGCTTGCTCCTTGCCCCCCCGCCCCGAGACCGGCCCCCTGCCCTCCAAGCTCTGTCTTGGTCTCGGCACAGACAGGCTCTTACACGTCCTGTGTAAGCGACTCCGGCGGTTCCCAGCCTTGGCTGCTCGGTGAAACACCTGGGAGCCTTAAACGCTACCAGGGACGGAGCTGAGACCAGACTCATTAAGTCGAATCTCTGGGCGTGAGGCCTCGTGGTGTCATAACTTTTTAATATGGAAAATTTCAAACTATAAAACGTGAAAGTCTACAGGATCATGTAATGAACCCCCATGGGCCCGTCACCCCCTTCTACGATGGTCAACTCGTGCCTGTCTGGTTTCATCCACATCCGCCCCTCTGTGGCATTTGATAGCCAACCTCACCAGTCAGGTTGTTTCGCCTGTGACCATTTCGGGGCATGTCTGTAAGGCTCCAGGCTCTTAACAAGAACAGAGTAAACACAGCTCCGTTATCACAGCTTTGAAGAAAAAGAAGGATTCTTACGATCACCAATGTTAGTGTTCAAATTTCCAGTTTTCCCCGTGCATTTTATCCGTCCCTTCACTTGACCTGGAGTCCAGATGAGGACCGCATGTTGTGATTGCTTGGTTTTTCCTGCCTCTGGGGCCCTCCCTAACCAAGCCCCGGATCGCTCACCTGGAGGAGTCCGTGTCTGAATGTTGCACTGTCCTCCTCGGGCGGCACTTATTAAGCGCCTCTGCATGTCTTGTCCAATCCTCAAGCATCTAGAAGCCTGTTTAGATTGGCTCTGGGGGAGGGGGAGCTGGGGGGGCTCAGGACTGACTTCAGAAGTGGTTTATGTTTTCCTGTTGGGGTCCTGCCCCTCCCCCACTGTCTTTCTTTCTGAGGTGGCAGCAGCCCCTGATCGTGCTCCGATAATCAATACCACTGTCTATTGATTAAATGGAGTGCCAGTCTGTCCGTCCCGCCTGTGCTAACTGGCAGACACTTCCTTTAGATCTGGTTACCCAAAGAGTTCCTACAGGAAATACTTGACTCTTTCCCTGTTTTGTGTGTGTGTTTTCAAAGCACCAAACTGATTCACTAGCATCTGCCAGTAGTAGAAATTGCTGGTTGGTTTTTTGTTTTTTTTAAACATTTATTTATGCTACAGAACTGGGGTACAGGCCATGTGGTGGGTGAGAGGCTTCACCAGAGCCAGAGTGGGGAGCAGAACAGGCCGACTGACAAAGCACACTGCTGAGGGGAGCAGTGGGCAGGTCAGGAGAGGTCTGCCGCACCCTGTGGGTCACTTCCTGGCCGGGGATCGAACTCATCCTGAGGTGGCTTTGGAGAGCTTCATAATGCGGTGCTTTAACCTGTTGCGCCACCAGGGAGAGCCCACTACTGGTCAGTTTTGAACGTGTGCGTTTGAAGATGATGCGTTTTGACACATCCTCCACCACCCCCCAGGAGCCAGGGTCTCGTTTTCTGCCTCTGGGAGCCCTTAGTTTGGCTTCTGAGCCCTCAGAGGCTGCGGCTATCACCACAACCTCCTTGTCATCGGGATGATGTGACGTTTGGGTTTGGTGGCTTTCCACGCCCCCGGCACCTCTCCCGACTCCAGGCAGCCTGGCTCCTGTCACTGGGAAGTGGCCCTTGGAGGCCACAGGGTTCTCCGTCCAGACTGGCCATTGTTTGTGGCAGACGTTGGCATTTTTCAGATCTCCCGGAACCGAATGGCACGCGCAGGGTGGGCAAGCACTGGTCTCTAGGTCGTGCTCCGAGTTCTGAGCCGACTGTCCAGCCCGTCTGCCAGAGGCCCCGCGGCCCTGTGTGCCCCCACCCGATTGTGGTGGCTCTGACTTGCCTGGCGGGGGGAGGGGGCTGGTGAGAGGGGTGGGCCCCCGCCGTGATTGCCTGCCATGGCCCCTCTGCCTGGGAACTCCTGCCCAGCCTTCTGCACTCTGCTCAGGAGCCCCCCTGTCTCCCTGCTGTGCCCTCTGCGCCAGGTGCTGGCCAGGTGTTTGCACCTGAGCCTCCTCGCTGTGCAGACGGTGTCGTGCTGGCTGCAGGCTCCCGAGACGGACTGCCAGGCAGGGCTGGCGCTGGGACTTCAGGCAGCTGTGAGGCCCCTGGGCCTCACGTCTTCACCCGCAGGCAGTGGCTCGGCGTCTCTGTCGGGTGAGGTGTCGCGGGACCCCAGGAGTCCGCACTGCGCAGAGCTGCGGCCTGTCGCCGAGCCCGGGTGTGGTCTCGGGGCCCGATCTGTGTCCGTCTCCTCCGGCCTGGCCTGGAGGCACAGACACGGCAGCTGGTCATCTGGGAGTCCTCAGCCCCCGAGGGCACCCCGGGCAGGCGGGGGCTGCTCAGGCCTCGGCCCAGCGGGGGCTGGTGACTGGCCTGCAGTCGCCCCGCGCTGAGTGGCGGGTCTGGGCCCCACCGGCCCCCGCTCACCCGTCCATGCTCTTGCTCTGGAATGCCCAGACTCCCAGGTGAGCTGGATTCTGGTAAGGCGACCCAGGCCCCCTGGGGCTGTGGTAGGTGGGCCCCTTCCACACAGCGATTCTGCACCCATGCTGGGCCTGTGCTGTCACACACTGTTCCCACGGTGCATTTTTCTGAAGACAAGGCCCAGAAACCTGGCAAGACACGTGCCCCTGGTCCCATCTTCACCCCTATTGGGGTGGCCAGGCTGGGAGGACATCCAGTGCGTTATCCCTTTTGTCTGTAAACTGGCAGGTGTGAACCAATTTCCTGTGATGGCCAATGTATCCCTATAAGGGTCTTTGTTTGCGGCCGTCCAGCACAGAAGCTGGCGGCCACACACACATCCCTGCCCCCGGCATGGCCCACCTCACGGGTGCCGGGAGCGCTCACAGCCCCCGTGGCCTGGTGCGCCCCTGGCGGGACCTGAGTCTTGGCTTCCTTTCTCCCGGGGCCACAGACAGTGGGCTCTGCCAGAGCCTTCACCGGAGCAGGACGAGTAGCCCCGTACCACTTGCTCAGCCATTAGCTTAGTCTTTATTCTGTAGCAAACGTCCTCTCGCCAGGCACAGTGTGTAGTCCCCTGGGGTGAACCGGTGAAGAAAATGAACCGAGGTCTCTGGCCTAGCAGGGAGAGAGAGGCCTTAACAGTCAGCACAGCAAGGGATACCACCAGTGCTAGAGGTGACAGATGTGACGGGGAGAGAAGACTGGCAGGCTTGGGGTGCACAGAGACCGGCCGTCATCAGTGAGAGGAGGGCAGTGAGCAGACACGTCTCAAAGGCAACAGTGGGCTGAAGGTGCTCAGGGAGTTAGCCAGGGGAGTGCGTGGGGGAGAGGGCTGCAGGAGGGGACAGCCAGCGGGAGGCCCGCAGGCTGGGCGGTGGCAGGAGGGGAGGAACAGGGGCAGATGGGCAGGAGAGGTGTCCTTCCCCAAGGCCTGGGGCCGTTGGGCTTTGAGTCAGAGTCAGCCTGTGCAAAGCAGTGGTGGACTGACTTAGCTGTTCCGACTCTCCCCCTGGCTCCTGTGCAGGGAAAGACCGGTGGGGGCAGGTGGGGAGCTCTGATGGGAGGCGGCTGCGGTCCGGCTGCGGTCCTCGGCTGAGGGTGGCCAGCCAGCCGGCGCGAGTGGGCAGTGGGGAGGAGTGGTTGAGTGGGGCTGGCTTTGGAGGTGGAGCTAGCAGTTTTTCCTGGTGCCTCGGGGGTGAGAGCATTGAGGATGCCTTCAGAGCCTTGGCCTGAGCCACGGGAGGATAGGGAAGGGGTACGCTGTGGGGGGCACATGTTTGGGGGTGACCAAGTGCCCCATTTCAAGCCCCTCAGCCTGAGATCTCTGCCAGCCGTTCAAGTGGAGAGGCCAGAGGGGCCTTGGGGACGCAAGACTGGCGTTTGCGAGAAGTTTCTGAAGACAGAGAAGTCAGAGCTGTCGATGCCGAGCTACAGCCCTGAGCGGGGTCAGCTCCCAGGGGGAGGCTGTGGAGGGGAGAGAGGGGACCTAAGGTGGGGCCCCGGGCCGCGCTGCACCCCGTGGAAAGGATGAGGCGGCAGCAGCTCTGGGACCTGTCTGGAGAGTTGATGAGGCAGAGCCGGGCAGGCTAAGCCCAGAAGCGGGTGGAATTTTCCACCCACGTGTCTTCTACACACTT